TGAAAATGCTAAATATAGTCCCTGGGAAAGGAACTTTTGTGATGCTACGTTGCTGCTTAGGATGCACTCTACTGCTTTCACAGCTCACTGCAAAACAAACACAGAATGTGCTAATGTAACTTTCACCTTTTCTCATAAATGCAAAAATATTTTCGGATTTCTTTTGGTTAGCAAAACAGGACTTTCGTAAACGTGAAATGACATAAAACAAACTAATGAAAACCGAGAAATACCTGTACTTCCTAACTTAAGATTTTTTTCTAGTAATAATGAAAGTATGGAAACAAACTTAAGTTTATTTAGGGGAAAAATTACTTGTGCTAGAATTAGTTTTAATAATATTTTTAGACAGATACTTAAATAGCATGAGTTGAGTTACGTTGTTTTTATGAATGAGGTTAAAGCAGAGGACATACAAAAGTATTTGTTGTTAAGTGCCGTCGAGTCGGTTCCGACCCACAGTGACCCAATATAGGGTTTCCAAGGCTTTAAATCTTTACGGGAGCAGAAATCCTCATCAGTTTTATTTACTGTTGTAGCATATTGTTAAAATAAACTCACTTCAATGTTTAGCAAAATGAAGCAGATTTTATTTTTTTCCCTTCTGTACACTGTGCTCACATGTATTATTAAAACTCATAGTAGCTCTAAAGTTAATAGTATACAATTTGCTCTTAAAGCAAAGATAATTTGAATGATAAGTGTTATTAGGTGCCATTGAGTTATTTTTAGGTCATAGCGACCCTTTACTGGGTTCCTAAAGCTGTCAGTCTTTGTGGGAGCAGAAATACTCATCTTTCTCCTGTAAAGCTGCTGGTCGGCTTGTACTGCTGACCTTGTGTTTTGCAGTTCCATGATTGCCCTACAGAGCTACAACACTACCCTTAATAATATTGTTGTTGTTAAGTGCTGTCGGATCAGTTTCAACCTGTATAAGATTTCCGAGAAGTAGCTGGTGGGTTTGAACCACCGAGCTTTTGGTTAGTTGTTGTTGTTAAGTGCTGTCGGATCAGTTTCAACCTGTATAAGATTTCCGAGAAGTAGCTGGTGGGTTTGAACCACCGAGCTTTTGGTTAGTTGTTGTTGTTAAGTGCTGTTGAGTCGATTCCAACCCATAGCGGCCCAGTATAGGGTTTTCAAGGAACTGCTGGTGAGCTTGAACCACCAACCTTGCAGTTCAAACAATTTTGCAGTCTGGCCCATTAACCCACAATGCCACACCAGGACTACACTTTAATTAGTAGTCCAGTGCTTATTATACAGCACCACACCAGGATTCCCTTAACTGTATGTTGTTGTTAAGTGCCACCAAGTTGATTCTGACTGATAGTAACCCTGTATAGGATTTCCAAGGAGCAGCTGGCGGGTTTGAACTGCAGACCTTATGGTTTGCAGTCCAGTGCTGATTCTACAGTGCCACACCAGAAGTCTAGTAACAGTATGGTGGTGTGACATGGAGTCGGTTCTGATTGATAGTGACCTTGCATAGGGTTTCCGAGGCTGTAAATCTTTACAGGAACAGAAAGCCTCATCTTTCTCTGACAGAACAGCTGGTAGTTTTGAACTGCTGACCTTGAGATTAGCAGTGCGACTCATAACTACTCTGCTACCAGAGCTCCTTAATAACAGTATAGTAACTCCTGGTGTGCCGCTGCTGATTATGCGGTAAATGGCAAAGTCGGTTTGGGCCGTAAAGCCAGCAGTTCCAACTCACCAACTGCTCCTCAGAAACCCTGTACAGAGTCCCTGTACAAAATCGCTGAGTAGGATCCCTACTCGACAGCACTTAGCAACAACAACAGCAATTTTTGAAAAGAATTGTTATATTGGAATTAAGTAATAAGGCCATCTAGTGGTAAAATTTCCAAACTTTTGTGAAGCAGCACTTACTACTTTGTGGACTTCAGGATTTATCAGATATCTACATTGTTGTTAAGTGCTGTAGAGTCAGTTCCAACCCATAGTGACCCAGTATAGGGTTTCCAAGGAACTACTGGTGAGTTTGAACTGCTGACCTTGTGATCCTGCTCTTATTCTATAGTGTCACACCAGGACTCCTATACTGTATGCCATTTAACAGAATTTCTAGAAATTAGTTTAGCCTAAGGTGTTTTTTTCTCATTATAGAAAATGAAATCTCTGAGTATATTCCAAAGATCATTTCTATAAATTACTGACATGCTTAATGCTTTTCATAATAATCAGATCAACAGTTAATTGCTACTAGGAATAAGCATTGGGAACAAAGTAGAGATTTCATAGTAAGATGAAGTGTTAAAGGTTATGTAACCACATATTTCCCCTGACTGTTGGGTGATATCCAGGGACTTGGTGCCGTTGTTGTATGCCATTGAGTTGTTTCTGACTCATAGCAACGCCATATAGAGTTTCTGAGGCAGTACATCTTTATGGGAGCAGAAAGCCTCATTTTTCTCCTGAGGAGTGGCTGGTAGATTTGAACTTACTGACCTAGTGCTTAGCAACCCAACCCATAATGCACTATACCACCAGAGTTCCAAGGGTCTTTTAGCCAGGAAATGAGTAAAAATCAGGCACTGCCCTTAAAAACATACAATTATTTAGAATATTTTTAAAAAGTTTTAGCCAAGACAACCTGCTTATTGAAAATGCTTATTTGTGTGAATCGGCCCAGAAATCTTTATTTCAAACAAAGGTCTTTAATTGTTAGGTGCAATTACCTAAAAAGTTGGAAAATTGTGCTGTACAAAGGTAGATCAGAAAGTATTGCTTCAAAACCATAGAAACATTTATTTAGCTAACAAAATGTGTAACTATTGCTTCTCGACATATCTTCCATCTAGTTTTTATACACTTCTGAATGGTGTGTATCAGGGTTGTATCTTTTCCACATACTTATTCAGTCTGAGAAGGTGGACTATATGAAGAAGAATATGGCATCAGGATTGGAGGAAGACTTGTTATGCAGATAATACAACCTTGCTTGCTGAAAGCATAGAGGTATTTAAGTATTTAGTGATTAAAATAAAAGACTATAGCATTCAGTATGGATTATACCTCAACATAAGACAAAAATCTTCATAATTAGACAAATAACCCACTGCCATGAGTCAGTTCTGATTCAATAGGATTTATCAGAATGTAAATCTTCATGGGAACAGACAGCCTTATTTTCTCCCAAGGAGTGACTGGTGGGATTGAACCGCCAACCCTGCACTTAGTAGCTCCATGCTTATCCCACAGTACCACCAGGGCTCCTAGACCAATAAGCAGCATCATGATAAATGGAAAAAAGAATGAAGTTGTCAAGGATTTCATTTTATTTGGATCCACAATCAATACACATTGAAGCTTCTGTCAGGAAATGACATATTGCATTGGGCAAATCTGCTGAATAAGACCTCTTTAAACTGTTAAAAAGCAAAGCTGTCACTTTAAACAGTTAGGTACTCCAGACCCAAGCCAATATTTTCAATCACCTCATATACATGTGAAAGCTGGAAAATGGATGGATGCTTTTGAATCGATGATTTGTTAGTAGACAGATCTGTTTTGGAAGAAGTACAGCCAGAATGTTCCTTAGAAGCGAGGATAGCAAGACTTTATTTTGCATACTTTGGACATATTATCAGGAGGGACCATTCCCGGAAGAAAGGTATGCTTGGTAAAAGAGGGTCACTTAAAAAGAGGAAGATCCTCAACAAGACGATTGATACAGTGGATGCAACAGTGGCTCAAACATAGGAACAACTGTGAGGATGGTGCGAGACAGGGTGATGTTTTCTTCTGTTATACATGTGGACTGGATAGCACCTAACAACAACTATAGCCCTTTCATGAATAAATCTGTGCTCTTTAATTTACACCACAATGAAATGGCAGTTTCAGCATCCTTGAGAAACTCCAATAGTTTTCCTTTGGAATGTTCTTTGAGTTTGGGGAACAAAAGGTCTGAAGAGGCAAGACCAGGTTGGTGGGTGGACTGGGTAAGATTTCTCAATGAAGGTCTTGTAGGACAGCCCTTGCTACCCTTGGAAAATGAGGAGTATATTATCCTGATTGAAAAACATCCCTCAGCTCAACTTTCCTATCCTTTTTCTCACATTGCACTTTTCAGTTTTCTTAACACTGCTTCCTTATAAGCCCCTATGGTTTTCCTGTGTCCTTCAAGAAAATCTGTCCAGATTACCCCTTTAGAAATGAAAAACCAGTCATCATAACCTTCTGATCTGGTTCTATACCTTGAACTGGCCCAGCAGATCACTTTGGAAACTAATGTTTTGCTTGGTCCAATTTTGTAGACACCCTAACAAGATTAAGGCAGGCGTAATTCTGAGAGAACTTCTCTGACAAATGGTTTGTGTTCAGCCATCCATGTTCACCGAGACATTTTTAAACCAACCTGTTATTGTTTAGAATAAAGCTGTGCATGTATGAATTGGAATCCTGGTAGCAATATTCTTCTTAAAAAAACAAACAAACAACTTGTATTCTCTACAAAGATAATACAATCTGATCTGTTTTATGGGCTCTTAGAAAAGTGAATGTATACACTTGACTCATAAGCTAATGTTAGTCATTTGCTAGGGAAGGAACAGATAAAGTTAATCCAAGTCTTTAGTTTTCTAGTGTGCTTCTCAAAAATGACAGAGCAAAGAAACAAGCTGAAAACAATCAGAAGAAGGTAGTCTTCCCTGCCTGTTTGCATTATTATGATGCTTTGACACTAACATCTCGTAAGAAATTAGATACAATATCCTAAGTATTACTTATTTTTATCAAATAATACATTGGCTATATATTTTTAAGATAATTGTTTACATCATCTGCTGCTGTCCTTTTTTCCTCCAGCCATCACACCAATTGAGTATTACTGTCATTAAAGTTTTCCTCTCATTGAAATCATCCACTGAAACAATTTAGAATATTTTTGTTTGCATTTGATGTTAAGGATAATATTCACACATTAATCTGGTGCTGAGGCTATACATTTTACTTCAAAAATAATTTTTCCCCCCTAGGTCTTTGGAGTAGATGACAATCAGGATTATAATAGGCCTATTATCAATGAAAAACATAAAGATCTTATAAAAGATTGGGCTATAAATTCTGCTGCAGTAGAAATGGAAGAAAGAAAACCACTGAGTACACCTGGATTTCACAACTCAGAGGTATATATCTCTTTCTCTTATTTAACTTTCTACATGCATAAAATGTTAATTTTCATCACTTAGTAATTATATTAATTTAGGCAATGGATATATCCCCCTGTAAAATATTTCTACATGTCAAATTTTCACAAATTATTTCTAAGGAAAGCCTAAAGCAGTTTTGCCATAATTGTCAGAAATTTGTCACATTTTAGGAAGATAAAAATCAGACTAGGAGCCCTGTTGGTGCTGTAGGATAAGCATTGGTGTGCTAACCACAAGGTTGGCAGTTCAAACCCACCAACCACTTCACCAGAGAAAAATTAGGGTTTCTGCTTCCATAAAGAATTGGAAACCCTATGCAGGGTCTCTTTGCGTCAGAACCAGACACCTGGTGCGGCGCTGTGGGTTAATGTGCTGGACTGCAAGGTCAGTAACTCAAGTTCACCAGCCACTCTTCGGAAACCCTATACAGGGTTGCTATGAGTCAGAATTGACTCAATGGCACTTGACAATAACAACAACAACAGAGTCAGAACTGACTCTATGGCAATAGGTAGAACTCAGATTTTAGGGTGCAGGCTCTAGGGCATGGCTCTCTGCCCCTCTTTTGGTTGTGCGGGAAGACCCACTTCTCTTTTCAGCTTCTACTCTGGTTCCTTGGCTATTTTCAGGTGGCATGGTATCTTTCTTACTCGATCCTCTGCTTTCTTACTTGTGTGCTTAATCTGACCTTTTTTATTTCAAAAGTAACACGGGTTTAAGATACATCCTACATTGATAGGGCCTCACTAACATAACAAAGAAAATCCTATTCCCAAGTGGGATTATATCCACAGGTTAGGATTTACAACACATATTTTGTGGGGAAACAATTCAATCCATAACAATTGTATACTGTTTGTATTTCCTAGCAGATCATGTATTTGGAATGCAAAGAGCTGTATATCATGCTTGTAAACATGTGCAAGGTAGTACCTGATAGATAAAACCTTGATGCCCCAATAATTGCCAGAGGACTAGAGCCTAGAATATAATTAAAATAAAGTGGAATTATTAAGAATATTGTTGTTAAATGCTGTCAAGTCAGTTCTGACTCAGAGTGACTTGTGGTTAGCAGTCAAGTGCTTAACCTGCAGCGCCCCATCAACTTGGTTAACATAGTATGTAGTCAGTATTGCATAGTAGAGCTTGAAAGACCTGAGCTCAAATCTCAGAACTACTACTTAACTTGATGAGCTTATCTATATAAGTTATCCTTTATAAAATACAAGGAGTAAAATGGTGTTACAGTGGTGAAACAATCATCAGCTGCTAGTCATCATGGGTTTAACCCACCAGTCCCTCCACAGGAGAAGAACGTGGCATTCTGCTTCTGTAAAAACTATAGCATTGAATACCCTATAGGGCTGTTCTACTCTGTCTCGTAGGGTCCCTATGAGTCGTACTTGATTGGTTGGCAACAGGTTCATGAAGTACATATGGGGAGGCTTTAAAAACTTTATGAAAAATGGAATTAAAAGATAATAGAATTTTTCCATTAACTTTTTGAAGCTCCTTTGTAGGGCACCCAGTATAGTGCCTGCTTCAAAAGTATGTGTTCAGCAAAGGTTTATTGTCTTGCTACAGGCATTAGGGTATCATCCCACACCAATGTATAGAAAAAAAAATATAGTTAAAAATGTATATGATGGTGGTGGTTGTGTAACACCTAATGAGTTCTGACTCATAGTGACCCTGTACAGTGTTTTCGAAGCTGTAAGTCTTCATGAGAGCAGAAGCCTCATCTTTTTCCCATGGAACAGCTGGTAGATTTGAATTACTGACCTTATGGTTAGCAGACCACCTCATGATCTACTACGCTACCAGAGTGCCTTAAAAATGCATATAACTCATTCTTTACTACTATAATGATAATTTATTCAAGTAATAAGAGCTAATAATCAATGAGAGCTTTCCCTGTATCATTTTATAAATAAGTAAACTAAAGTACATAATGATTTCCTTGGCCAAGTGTTATAGCTAATACCTTGTGGAGCCAAATTTGAACCATAAGCAGTCTTGGTTTATTTATTTATTTATTTTTATGTTTTATTGTGAATTATGTGATAGTTTACATGGGAGACCATTAGCTTTACATTCATCCTATCGTATATCATTTCATTGCCATGGTTACACATCCCCTCCATGCATCATCAACCAACCAAAGAGTATACCCTACAAGCCTGCCCCCCGGTCATCAGCACACAGCCCCTCTCCCTCTCTGGATCTAAAGTCCCCAGCTGTTCCATCTCTCCACATCATCATCTCTGCTTCTGGCGTCACTTCTTCTCTGGGTAGGGTCCCGCTCTCCACTCTTCTCCCTTGATGGTCCCAGGGACCTCCGCTCCTAGACTGGAAAGTTAATCACTCCCCTCCTTACTACAAAATGTCTACCTTTACATTTCCAACCCTTACAATCAGTCCTGATAACAATTATTCACTGTTGTATCACAATAGACCTATCCGCATTTCCTTTCATCAGCTCCGCCTAGACAGATTGGATACTACTCAGTGGAGATTCTACCTTCCTCCACACCCTCGGGATCTAGGTTCCCTCTTGAAAGCTTGTAAGCCAGTCACTTCTTGCCTTTGTAGCCCCCCACCCCCATTTTGGGTAGCCAATGTCCAAGTTGCCCATCCCTGCCTATTTTGTGTATAGAGGAGGTGGGAATGATCCTTGCTATAAAGATGTGTTCCCTCTTTTGAGCTACTGCATCCATAGCTGTAAGTCAAGTTCATCAAATTGCTTCAGATTACTCTTTTTTCCTCTTCTTTCTTCTTCTAGTTGAGCTCTGGTCATCCAGTCATTGAAGCCAGGTCAAGTGGATATTATCTGCAAGTGTGGGTGTTCTTGTGCATATGCCCTGTCTTCTTATCAGCTGGACATTTCACTCTCCATTCTAGTCCTCTATGGCTAAAGCAGTCTTGATTTTTTTAACTCACTGCCTTATTCATTATGCTTTTTTGCCATTAAAATATACAAATAGCAAAATAAAAACAAATGGAATAAAATCTTAAGATATAAGTAAAATAAAATACAGATAAGTTACTTATTTTTTAAGTAAAATAAAATATACAGTATACTTATAGAAGGTAAATATGCTAAAATTGTACCTTAAAGTCCTGCCATTTCCTGAAAACTGTCAAAACAGCTATTTTATATTATTGTTCTTTTTTTCCCTCCTTGATCTTGGAGAATTTTTTCTTTGATTTTTATTCTATAGGATGTTAAATTTCCTTACTGAAAACAGGTGATATTTATTGAAGGCAGTGTCTAGGAATTCTGATTAATCCAGGAAGGGTCCTCATGAATGTAAACAGCCTCCCCTCTTGTCTATCTTCTCAACCTAGGCCAAGTAAAATTAATATGAAGCCCCAGTATATACCTGTCTATATGGTGCTGGTGGTGTTTCAATTCCAGCTCATAGACAACAGAATAAAACATGGCTCAATCATGTGCCATCTTCACAATTGTTATATTTGAGCCCATTGTGCCAATCCATATTGTTGGGAGTCTCCCTCTTTTTCACTGATGTTTCACATTTCCAAGCTTGATGTCGTTTTCCAGGGACTGTTCCCTCCTGATAACATGTCTGAAGTACAAGCGACAAATTTGCACTATCTTCTCTTCTAAGGAGCATTCTGACTGTACTGCTTCCAGTACAGATTTGTTTGTTGTTCTGGCAGTCCATGCTACTTTCTGCCTATATAGGTGTTACCTAAACACGCCATTATAATTTTCACAAGATGGTTGTAAATAAAAATCTCTCTATTTTGTGTATTCTTAACATGGTGTTGTTGGCTATGGTACTATCTTTAGTACAAAGAACTGTGAATATCAAAAGCCAAAACATACCCATTGCCATCAAGTCAATTCCAACTCATAGCAACCATATCGGACAGATCGGTACCATAAAACCTTGGAAGTGAGCTCTAGAATGTGTTTTATTTTCATCATATGGAATGTCAGGTTTCATTGTATGTGCATCATTCTTTACTTACTAATTTTCTGCTATTTAAAAAAAATCTTACATAATATGCATACTCTTAAGAGATAAGTACAGTATATCTAACTTGTCATCATTAGTAGCAGTGAATCTGATACTTTTAAAATAAAATAGAGGTATGTGCCACGTAACATCCGTGCAGGCAATGTCAGAGTTGCATATACATCCAGGGGCCCATACAGTTATAGTGTAGCTTTTAAATCTCAACCAGAGAACAGGACATAGTGGGCCATAGCAGGTTTACTTTAATAAATACTATAGATGCTGTCTCTCACTGGCTTTCTAGATCACTGGCTTCCTTGTGGAAGCTGAAGGAGGAAGTCCTGGTACTCATCCAGCTTGCCTCCAGACTGCACAATCACTGCCAGAGCCACAAAGAGGATGCCCCAAAATGCCACTGTCCCACATGGTTAAGGAATCCTGTGGGTCATGCCCAGGTTCAAGGCTATGCATGCATTCATTGGTGGCCACTGTTGTTGTGGTAGAAAATCAGGAAATGCAGTAGGTAGGCAAGATTAGAAGAGTTAAAGACTGTCTAATTATGTTTTTGTTGACTATGCAATGACATTCAGCTGTGAATTATAGCAGATTATGGTTAGTTTTGCAAAAAATGGAATTCCAGAACACTGGAATAGACCAAGAGGCAGTCCTCTGTACATAAAAAAGGAATACTGCATGATTTAGAATTAGGAAATGTTTGTGGTTCAGAGTTTTATCCTTTCATCATGCTTAGTCTGTATATTTGGCAAATAATCCAAGAATCTGGACTGTATGAAGAGCAGAACAGTGTCAGTTTTGAAGGAAGCCTCAATAATAGCCTGTGATATGCAGATAACACAACCTTGTGTGCTGAAAGCAAAGAGAACTTGAAGATGATCAAAGACTGCAGCCATCAGCATAAATTATACCTCAACATAAAACAAAAAATCCTCACAACTGGAACAATAAATATAGAGAAGATTGAAGTTGTCAAGAATTTCATTTTTCTTAGATCCACAATCAATACTTATGGAAACAGCAGTCAATAAATCAAATGACATATTGCATTGGACAAACGTGCTACAAAAGACCTCTTTAAAGTGTTAAAAAGCTAAGATGTTACTTTGAGGACTAAGGTATACCTGTCCCAAGCCATGATATTTTCATATGCACGTAAAGCTAAACTGTGAATAAGAAAGACCAAAGATTTGATGCCTTTGAATTATGGTCCTGGCAAAGAATATTAAATATACTGTTAGAAGAATGATCATGTATGTCATGGGTGTAGTATAATTAGAATGTTCCTTAGAAGCAAAGATGGTGAGACTTTGTCTCACATACATGGGATGTGTTATCAGGAGCGATCAGTCCCAGGAGAAGTACTTCATGCTTGGTAAAGTAGATGATCTGTGAAATATAGGAAGACCCTCAAGGAGATGGATTGACTCAGGAACTACAATAATGGTCTCAAACATAGCAATAATTATGAGGATGGTGCAGGAAGTTTGTGGCATGTGTGGAGGTGTCTAGCTGGATGGCAAGTATACACTGAGGCAGTGACCAGGTGAAGCTCTTGGAGACCAAGTGGGGACCACTCAGGATTGGCGATGGACCTAAAGATATCTTGCAGTCTTGTGAAGTGGTGGCTTGGGATCCAATCCTGCATGCTTCTCTCCTGTTGGCACAACATCCCCATAACATAATGCCCTACTTTACAGAAGCTATTGTGGGCATTAAGCAATGTATACCGGTATTATCATTCCAGTTTCAGTATTAAAACTTGGCTTAGATTTTTAGGAAACAGCGCCATACCAAGGGCTATGTGATGGTGGTTGTTGTGTGCCGTGGAGTCGGTTCCAACTCATAGCGACCCTGGATCGTGTTTCCAAGGCTGTAAATCTTTATGGGAGCAGAAAGCTTCATCTTTCTCCCTCGGAACAGCTGTAATTTTGAATTGATATTGTGCATATTCTTAGCATGGTGCTAATTGCTCTGGTACTATCTTTATATATACTGTCTTTATAGATACCCTTGCAGTCCTTGGTGTGGCATTGTAGGATAAGCACCGGATTGCCAACCACAAGGTTGGCAGTTTAAACCACCAGTTTCTAATCCTTGGAAACCCTACACAGGGTCGCTCTGAGTTGAACCGACTTGATGACACTAACAACAATACCAGTATATACCAAGGAGTGACTGGTGTGTTTAAACTGCTGACCTTACAGTTAGCAATCCAGTGCATATTCTATAGCACCACACCAAGATTCCATATACCCCTTTTTTTTGTTGTTAAGTGCCATCTAGTTGATTCTGACTCATAGCGACCCTGTATAGAGTTTTCTGAGGAAAGGCTGGTAAGTTTGACACCCCTTAGGTCGTCCATATTATGTGTCTATATTGCCTTGGTTTTAAGAATTGTCAATATATGTCCTTAAGTCTGTGGGATCATATAGTGAATAAAATTCCATTTCTAACTTCAAAGAGCACTGCCTTAAAGAAATATCTAAACATGGATGGTTATAGATGCAAAGAAGTTGTTCATGGAAAAGTTCTTAAAAGAATAATAGTTTTTAGCTCTTTTAGAAATGTTTGGGGAAGAAAGATGAGGCTTTCTGTTAAAGCAAAGATCTACAGCCTCAAAAACCCTCTACAGGGTCACTATGAGTCTGAATCGTCTCTACTGCACTTAACAACAACAAGAAGAAATGTTTAAAGTATTGTAGAAAAAAGTCGATAGGTTGAGAGTCTATTGTTGAAATTCCTGAAGATATGACGTATCATATTTAATATTCCCTGAGACTGTGGAACCAATCTGACTTCTAAAGAAAGACATTTGGAGAACTTAGAGAACAACTTTGGGATAAACCAGGTTCTTAGAATAGAGAACTAACTCCACTGGTGTTACCATAAATCTATGATAATAAATTTAAAGCTCTAAGAGTTTATCTTAGTAACCTTTGTAGTATTTAACAGAGAAAATTATGCTACATTCACAATAATGGTAGAATGTTATTGTCCAAAGAAGAATCTTAGAAAATCTTCATTTTAATAAATGATACATGGCAATGTGAGATTTAATTACTACTTTGTATAACATGTTTATGTGACTAACAGAATTTGGTTTAGTGAGAATCTGATGAGACCAGACTACATTATTTTTCCTTTTCTTTTTTTTCCCCTTCAGCAAAGCACATCTTCATCTGGAAATAAACGTTGGATTTCACAGTGGGCGAGTTTGGCTGCTAATCATACAAGGCATGATCAAGAAGAAAGGATAATGTCTGCATCTGTTCCTTTAGAAATTGGTATTCTCTTTTAAATCATGTCATAATTTTTCAGAAACAAATAGTGAGAAGTAAATTAGATGATTATGTTCACATATTATTCTATGTTTATAAAAGGAGCTCTGGTAGCATAGTGGTTACGAATTGGGCTGTGAATCGCAAGGTCAGCAGTTCGAAACTACCAGCTGCTTCGCGGGAGAAAATGAGGCTTTCTGCTCCTGTAAAGAGTTACAGCCTTGGAAACCCTGTTCAGGGTCGCTATGGGTTGGAACCAACTTGACGGCACTTAACAACAACATAAAAGATACATGATTTTATTTTGACTAATAATGCATGTGTCATTAAACTGTAATCATAAGTTGAAGTAAAAAGAAGGAAAAGAGACAATTTGTACATGGTGCACCTTTATCAGATTTTCTCCTGAGAAGCTGCCTAGATTAGACAGGGCTTTATTACCTTCCCCAGTCTTCAGAGTCTTTCTTTTCATTTAGTGCCCTTCTCATTTACTCTCTCTCCATCGAGAGGAATTTGCAGATTGAGTCACATATGCTAGTCACCATTTGGCAAACAAATCAACCAGGTAGAGAAGCTAGATAAATTACCAAAGAAGTCATTATAAAAGTATTAGCAAAATTCTACTCTTGTTATATGTAAATTGAAAAATCCACTTAAATCATAAATTGCTTTTTGTTGAACATATACTATTGAGTGTTTATTAGGAGCAGGATAGTATGAGAAATGCTAGAAAAATACAAAGATATAAAGTAGTCAGTTGCATTTTATGTGCTTCATCTCACACTAAGGAGATAAAATGTATGTACTTGAAAAAATAGATACTGCATGATTAAATGCTAAATTAATCAGTACATTTGTGTAGGTTGTTGTTGTTATTAAAGTGCTGGCGAGTCGGTTCCGACCCATAGCGACCCTGAACAGGGTAACCCTTTCCAAGGTTGCAAATCTTTACGGGAGTAGAAAGCCTCATCTTTCTCTCACAGAGCAGCTGGTAGTTTCGAACTGCTGACCTTACGGTTCTCAGCCCGATTTGTAACCACTACACTACCAGAGCTCTATTCATGACATTTAAGTACCAAATTTTAGAATTAAAAAGGATTCATAGATCCTATAACAGGGTCTTCTATCCACTTATCCCTAAAAGTCTAAAAATACTTGGTTATATTTTTCCAAAAGTATGTCTTGTTTTCTAGAAATTATTTCATTTTTAACAACCACAAGAATCCGCCTCAATATTTTCTTAATTTCCCTATGTTTAAACACCACAGTATGTTATTTTCTCATTGATTCGACTTAGCTGAAACAAAGAAAGTGGTTGCCTGTTTCTATGTCAGACCCTAATACACCAGAAACTCATAATTTAAAAATCCCTATAAAGTAGTCTCCATTTTCCCTTTAATTACATTCTTTTGTACTCTTATAATTGAGAGTATAGCAGATAAACAGTGTTGATTAGGTATTTTTATGATGTTCTTATAATATGCTAGTTCCAGTTTGTTTTCTTGAGTACCATTTCTAGGATAGAAAAACACAAAAGTAAGAGTGAACATAGTGAACTACCCTGACATAAAACATATTAAAAGAAAAAAAGAGAGCAACAGATGTGGTTTAAGATCATATGGTCCTCAAACCATAGGCTCTGAGGATCAGACTTTAGCTACCTAGTAGACATAGCAAACTGTCCCTCATCTGATTATTCAGTAATGCTTGTTAGTAATCTCATACATGAGCCCTGGATATCCACAGACAAATGTAAAAA